AGGATCTGTGTTCGATTCCCAGATCTGGCTCTTGATGTAGCCTTCTGCTGGATGGAGACCCTGAGAAACACCAGGTGATGGCTCAAATAATTCAGCGCCTGTCACTCACGTGGGAAATCTAGACTGAGTCCTTGACCTCCAGCTTCGTGCCAATCTGCTGTGGGTATCTGAGGAGTAAACCAGTGTAGGATGTTCTCACTGAATAGCTTTCTCTTCTTACCTTTGAAACAAACAAATAACCACAAATAACCACCAAAAAGAAAACTAGATGAAAAATTTTTATACTCACTTTTTTGGATCATCCATTGTATCAGTCAATCTCTTCCCATTACATTGTAACACAATCAAAATTCATCATTCTCTTGCTTCTGTTTACAATATCACATCAATATATTTCAGAAGTGTTTATTTTTGGGAAGGTGTGTTACATTAATTTTATTAAAAAACCCCACATGGTGTACCAGCACTAAAAAATATTTATTTTAATTGGAAATATTAAATTCCAGAGAGAAGGAGAGAGAGAGAAAAAGAAAGGTCCTTCATCTGCTGATTCACTGAGCCAATCTGAAGCCAGGAGCTTCCTCTGAGGCTCCCACATTGGTGCGGAGTCCCAAAGACTTGGGCAATCCTCCACTGCCTTTCTAGGCCTTCAGCAGAGAGCTGGATCTACAGTGGAACAGCCAGGACACAAACCAGCACCTATATAGGATGCTGACACCACAGGGAGGAGGATGAGTGTGTTGTGCCACCATGCTGGTTCCCAAATTTCCCTTTAGATACACACTGGAGGGAAAATGGCAGTTTAAAGAGATGCAAGAGCTTACAGAATAATGCCAATTAGGGCCTGGCGCGATGGCGCAAGTGGTTAAGGTCCTCGCCTTGCACGCCCGGGATCCCATATGGGCGCCCGTTCTAATCCCGGCAGCTCCGCTTCCCTTCCAGCTCCCTGCCTGCTTGTGGCCTGGGAAAGCAGTCGAGGACGGCCCAAAGCTTTGGGAAACTGCACCCGCGTGGGAGACCCGGAAGAGGCTCCTGGCTTTGGATCAGCATAGTATCGGCCGTTGCGCTCACTTGGGGAGTGAATCATGGGACGGAAGATCTTCCTCTCTGTCTCTCCTCTCTGTATATCCACCTTTCCAATAAAAATAAATCTTTAAAAAAAAAAAAAAAGAATAATGCCAATTTGTTCCAAATGGGCAGAGCCAACTTACAGTCCTACTAGGAATAATTAAGAGATTTTATTGAACTACATCCCAATGATATGGTCTAATGCAAAAATCTGTATTTTAAATTGTAGTGACATGCACAATATCAAGCTTACCATTTTAGCTACTTGAAAAAAACATTTATTTATTTGAAAGGCAGAGTTTCTCTACAGAGAAAGACGATGATAGATCTTCCATCTGCTGGCTCACTTCCTAAATAGTTACAACAGCTGGGGCCAGCCAGGGTTAAGACAGGAACAGGGATCTCTTCCAGGTCTCCCACAGGAGTTTAGGAGTCAAAGTACTTCGTCTATCTTCCTGTGCCCTTTCAGGGACATTAGCAGGAAGCTGGGCGAGCAGCATGGCAGCCACGACTCAACTTGGTGCCCATATAGAATGCTACACCACAACATTGGTTTCCATGTTAACTTAGTTTACTACACAGTTCAGCAGTGTTGGATACATTCAAAGTGTCATTCAACTATCACCAACATCTACCTCTAGAACATTCTCCCTAGATTGAGATTCTGAACCCATTTAACAGAAATAACTCTGTTGTGTCGTCTCCCTGCCTCCCAGCAACTACCACTCTACAGTGAAATCACACAGTGTTTGTGGTTTTTATTTTAATATTTATCTTTATTTGAAAAGAAGATGTGTAAACTGCAGTGGCTGAAATGAAGCCAATTTGAAGCCAAGAACCAGGAGCTTCTTCCATGTCTCTGGTAGGTGCAGGGTCCCAAGGCTTTGGGCCATCTGCTACTGAATTCCCAGGCAACAAGCAGGAAGCTGGATTGAAAGTGGAGTAGCTGGGACACAAATCAGTGCCCACGTGGAATGCACTGCAGGCTTCCTATGCCATGGTGACAACCCCATCTTTGTTTTTGTGATAATTTTTACTTAGCATGGTATCTTCAGGGTCATTCATGTTATAGCACGTGTCAGAATTCCCTTCCCTTTAAAGGCTGAATAATACAGCATCAAGATAGCTGAAAAGGGTAAGGACATGTTTAAACAGATGGAGAAATAAAGGCTGAATAATATTCTCCTGCAAGTTTAGTCCACATTTAGTTTACTCATTCATCTGCCAATGGATACTTGGGTTATTTCCATTTTGGGGTTATTGCAATAATACTGCTATGAACATATACATGGAAAGAGTTGTTGAATCATATTTTAATTTTATGTTCAATTTTTAAAAGATTATTTATTTAAGAAACAGTGACAGAGGGAAAGAGACATAGAGAAAAAGACCCTCCATCCTCAGGCTTATTCCACAATTGGTCCCAACCGTTCAGGCTAGGCCTGCCCAAAGCTAGGAGCCAGGAACTTGGTGTGGGTCTCCCAGGCTAGTGGTAGCGGCTTGGGTCATCATCCACTGCTTCCCGGGTGCGTATCAGGGAGCTGGATCAGCAGCTGGGACTAGAATCACAACTGTGATACGGGATGCTGGCAACACAAATGGTGTTTAACTCATTGTGCCACAAGGTTGGCCTGCCCGTCCATTTTCGGATTGCATTTTGTTACTGAATTGTAGGAATTTCAAAAACCTTCTTTATATTCACATACATTTTACATATAAACTTTCTCTCTCTATATATATGTATATATATACACACACAAATATATACACACACATACATACATATAAATGTCGCAGAACCTTTCTGAATGTTTTTAGTTCAAAATGTTTGGTATTTTTTTTAAGATGAAATCTTTTGGTTTTCCACAGATCAGATCACATTTCTGCAAAGATGCTTTTACTTTTTCCTTTCTGATTGATAGTTTCTTAATGAAATTTTCCCAAAATAACAACAGTCACAAGAATGGCACTCAATTTCAGTCTCTTCCATGGGCAGCAGGGACTTGTCTCCCACTCAGGAGCAGGGTCCCAAGGTGAGTCCTCGGACTGCTTTCCCAGGTCACAAGCAGGGAGCTGGATGGGAAGTGGAGCAGCTGGGAAATAAACCAGCATCCATGAGATCTCACCATGCTGGTTCCCAAATTTCCCTAGAGGATTTAGCCTCTAAGTTACCATGCTGGGCCCCATAGTAGGGACCTGTACTACCCAAACCAACATGTGCAGTCTAACAGGGTGACTCCGGGTACTCCGACAGGAAACGCTCATGTTCCAAGCAGCTACTTAACCATCATAGCCACGCCTCGCTTTCAAATCTTTCCCACCTGAACATACTGGTTCCGAACCCACGGCCCTCATCGCTAATAACATTGAACACCTTTTTGTAAGGAGGCATTCATACCATTCATTTACTGTGAATTCAGATCTGCTCCTAATGCGTGAACTAGAAAACTTAAGAGACTAAATGACGACAACATCAGTTTATCGGCTTCTCAAATGTATACATATATGATTTTTAACCTTAGTGACATGCAGGCTTTGCTGATAATCTGATGAAAACTTAGCAATTCTCAACACAGGATCAGGCTCAATCGTGGACCTTTCATAGACTAAGACTCGACTCCCCTCACCCAATCCATTTCTACGGAATCCACATACAAGGAAAAAAGAATCAGAAGTAGTGTCACAGGAGAGCCATAAGTCAAGTGCACTGGAGTTTAAGAGAACTATTCACACACTGGACGAGGGGAACCGCTCAGCTGGTGTTTGGATTCTCTCTCTCTCTCTCTCTCTCACACACACACACACACACACACACACACACACAAAATCCTCTGAAAAACCAGAACATCTCTGAGAACCTGAAATCAACCTGCTGAGGCATTCTCTTTGGTATATACTGAATTGTGGGCCTTACACGAGTTGCCAGCATGTATAAATTGAACTTTCACGGAAGAATTAGGGCATCTGGACTTTGCAGGGGGAAAACAAAAACAAAACGACAATAAACAAACAGGGAGCTTAAAAATTTGGCGCTCACGCTCCCAGAGGAGCTGGCTGGATTTCGGTGTCCAGTGTCCCTATTCCATCACACATCTCGTACTTCCTTTTTTTTTTTTTTTAAAGATTTATTTTATTTATTGGAAAGTTGGATATACGGAGATGAGGAGAGACAGAGAGGAAGACCTTCCATCGGCTCCCGAGCTGCGCAGATCCAAAGTCAGGAGCCAGGAGCCTCTTCCAGGTCTCCCACGTGGGTGCAGGGTCCTAAGGCTTTGGGCGGTTCTTAACTGCTTTCTCAGGCCACAAGCAGGGAGCTGGCTGGGAAGCGGGGCTGCTGGGATTGGAGCCGAGACCCAGGTGGGATTCCGGTGCGTTCAAGGCCAGGACTTTAACCACTAGGCTACTGTGCTGGACCCCCACCTTGTACTTTTCACGCATCAGTATCTTTGCCTTTCCCCCTTTCTCCACGTCCTTAGCTCTTCACCCGCCACGGCAGAGCACAGCTCTGTTAGAACTCTAGTCTCAACGTTTCGGCAGGGTTCTGCCTCGGCTAGGTGGGAGCCCCCTGAGGCCGGCGGCCCGCGACTAATCCTTTCTGCGTCCCAACTCCGCCTAGGGCCGCTCAGTATCTTCCTACTTGACGACAAACCCAGCCTCAACGAACAGTACGCCCGGAGAAGCGCGGCGGAGGCGCAAGCCCCAGACAGCAGTCTCCCGTCCAAGGACGCCGGCGCTGGCGCCTCACAGGTGAACAGCACCGGGCCAAGGCGCCCTGCGCGCCGCCATTCCCCCCGAGGGTGCTCGGGCGCCAAGTCTCGCGAGACTCGGCCCGAGCGCCAGCCCTTCGGCCGCGGTGACTTACCGGGTTGGTCTCCTCCAGAGTCGCGCGGCCACCAGGCTCCCCGGAGAGGGCTGTTCCGGTGCCAGCCCCGGAAGCGGAAGTGCGCTCACTGGACTGTCAGAGCCGGCGTGCTGACTGGCGGGTGGTCGCGCACCCGGGGGGCCGGCGGTTTCTTTTCCCTGTTCTGACTCGGGAGCGCTTCCCCTCCGCCGGGCGGGGGTGCGGGGACGCCGCCGCGAGATGAGCACCATGTTCGCGGACACGCTGCTCATCGTGTTCATCTCGGTGTGCACGGCTCTTCTGGCGGAGGGTGAGAGCGGCTGTGGGCGGACGTTTGGAGGGCCGGGGCGAGACCGCGAGCCTGACCTCCTCCGGGGCGCACGGGAGGGAGGCGTGGGGTAGCTTGCACGCGTGTCGTTGTGCGGACACTTGCACATCTGAAGTTGTCTTGGGCCGGAGAGTCGGATGTGTTAGTGATTGGAAGGAAAGTTAAATATGGCTCGATATGTACCAAAATCTTTAAATTCCTCCTTCAACAGTAACCCCTATAGCTTTGTGCGACTGTTCCGGACTTCTTATTTGCATGTTACTCTTAACGTTTTAGGCATAACCTGGGTCCTGGTGTATAGGACGGACAAATACAAGAGGTTAAAGGCAGAAGTGGAAAAGCAGAGTAAGAAACGTAAGTATGACAACAGAATCTCGACTTGTGTCAGGCGCATCGGGTGCGTGATCACATTATTTTAGGAGCACCAACTGATGTGAAAACTTTATAGGGGCACAAAGATAAATACGACTTAAAGTCTACTTAGAAATTTTTTGGAAAAAAAAAAAAAAAAGACCCCGGCACAAGAGTTTAATTGGTTAAATTGTCACCTTGCAAGCACCAGAATCCCGCATGGATGCCGGTTTGTATTCCAGGTACTCCCACGTGTGGGTGGCAGAAGCCCAGTGAGTTCATCTGTCACTGCTGCTCTGTAGCTTTCGCCTTGGAAGGAGGCAGGGCACCTCCAAGGCAGGAACAGGTTCAGCGTAGAAGGCTGGTGCTAGGCTTGGTGGCAGTTCCCAAGAATGTTTCCCATTCAATTGCAAGAAAGTGGGGAAGCCTGCAAGATGCAGATGAGCTCACAGTCCCTGCTGGATGGTTGGCTTTGATAGGGAGATAGGTGAAGGGCATACCACATAAAGGAAATAACATATGAGCAGGATTACAGGGAGAAAGAAACAGAAAGGGACTTCTTCCATCCAGAAGTTTACTCCCCAAAAGGTTGCAGCGGCCAGAGCTGGGCCAGTCTGAAGCCAGGAGCCTGGAGCTTCTTTTAGGTCTCCCACACACGGGTGCAGGGTGCCAAGGACTTGAGCCACCCTCTGCTGCTGTCTCAGGCCATTAGCAAGGAACTGGATGAGAAATGGAGCGGCCAGGACTCTAGCTGGTGCCTGTATAGGGATGCTGATGTCACAGGCAGAATATTAACATGCTATGCCATGTCCCCAACCCCTAGAATATGGAAATCTTAATGTGCAAGGTGTGCTTGGAGATGGCAACATTATCATCATAATATGTGTCATTATAATATATGTTACCCTGGTGTCAGGGTAAGATAATTCTTCAACAATAAGCTGAGTTTCATGTGCGTGAGGAGGTTGAAGTGTATTGAGGAAAATGTTAACAATAGGTGGTTTTGTTGTCTTTGAAATAAAGTAAATGTTGGTGTTGTGTACCCAGTAAAGATGACTGTGATGCCCATCTCGGGTGGGCATCAGCTCCCGCCCAACTGCTCCAATGCCAGTACAGCTCCTCGCTGATGGCCTGGAAAAGCAGCAGAATATGGTACAAGTATTCGCGAGTCCCGGATGAAGCTGCTGACTACAGCTTGGCCCAGCTGTGGCCTTGCAGACATTTGGGGAGTGGACCATGGGGTGGAAGATCTCTCTCCCTCTCTCTGTCTTTGTAAATCTTTGAAATAAATATGTAGGTAGGTATGAAAAGAAAGTAGAAATGCCACAGGACACAGCTAAGTACAATGTGAATGATTGCTTGTAGGTCTGATTCAGTTTTTAATATTCTTCCTTGTAAGGATTAAATATAATCTTATCTTCCTGCATACTATGATTTTTTCTGGAATCTTCATGACAGTTTTTTTTTTAAACATTTATTTGAAAGAGTGATAGAGACAGACAAGGGGAGAGTGTGTTCTTCTCGCCCCTGGTTCACGCCCCAATTCTGCAGCAGCCATGTCTGGAGCCGATCATAGCCAAGAGTCAGGAGCTTAATCCTAGCCTCCCACATGGCCGACAGGGACCACCTAGTCGGGCCAGCCTCCCACATGACCGACAGGGACCACCTGGCCGGGCCAACCTCCCACATGGCCGACAGGGACCACCTGGCCAGGCTATTCCCACATGGCTGACAGGGACCACCTAGTCGGGCCAGCCTCCCACATGGCCAACAGGGACCACCTGGCCGGGCTATTCCCACATGGCCGACAGGGACCACCTGGCCGGGCTATTCCCACATGGCCGTCAGGGACCACCTGGCCGGGCTATTCCCACATGGCCGACAGGGACCACCTAGTCGGGCTAGCCTCCCACATGGCCGACAGGGACCACCTAGTCGGGCTAGCCTCCCACATGGCCGACAGGGACCACCTAGTCGGGCTAGCCTCCCACATGGCCGACAGGGACCGCCTAGTCGGGCTAGCCTCCCACATGGCCAACAAAGACCACCTAGTCGGGCTAGCCTCCCACATGGCCAACAGGGACTACCTAGTCGGGCTAGCCTCCCACATGGCCAACAGGGACCACCTAGTCGGGCTAGCCTCCCACATGGCCAACAGGGACTACCTAGTCGGGCCAGCCTCCCACATGGCCAACAGGGACCACCTAGTCGGGCTAGCCTCCCACATGGCCGACAGGGACCACCTGGCCAGGCTATTCCCACATGGCTGACAGGGACCACCTGGCCGGGCCAACCTCCCACATGGCCGACAGGGACCACCTGGCCAGGCTATTCCCACATGGCTGACAGGGACCACCTAGTCGGGCTAGCCTCCCACATGGCTGACAGGGACCACCTGGCCAGGCTATTCCCACATGGCTGACAGGGACCACCTAGTCGGGCTAGCCTCCCACATGGCCGACAGGGACCACCTAGTCGGGCTAGCCTCCCACATGGCCGACAGGGACCACCTAGTCGGGCTAGCCTCCCACATGGCCAACAGAGACCACCTAGTCGGGCCAGCCTCCCACATGGCCAACAGGGACCACCTAGTCGGGCTAGCCTCCCACATGGCTGACAGGGACCACCTGGCCGGGCCAACCTCCCATATGGCTGACAGGGACCACCTAGTCGGGCTAGCTTTTGCTGCCTTCCAAGGTGCACTGATAGCTGAGACTTCAATGGGCACTGCAGAGTGGGATGCTCTGGGCCATGGCTGCAGCTGCTGTGTTACAATGCTGACCTCTCAGGTTTGTTTTTCCATCAGTTATCTCATCTGAGACGCATAGCAGCCACTTGGGGGTCAGTTGCATGTGACCTCCAGATTACAGAAAAGAAAATTGAGACTCATCAAGTTAATGGCATAGTTATCATAGGGCAAACAAGGGATTGGAGACAGACCAACTCAGGCTTTTAAAATTACTGTTGGCCATTCCTCCACATAGTGATGTGGATGGTACACTTCAGTATGTTGAAAGCCAAATTCACTGTCTACCCTCACAAACATGATCTTCCTTTAGGGATTTCCCTGTTTCGTAGTAGCTCTCTACTACCTCCCATAGCACAGACTAGGTGCCTTGGTACACTTTATTTATTCATGTGGTTTTAAGATTTATTTACTTTTATTTGAAAGGTAGAAGGAGAAATGGAGAGATGCCTTCTGCTGGTTCATTGTGCAAATGGCCGCTGGAGCTGAGCTGATACGAAGCCAGAAGCTAGGAGTTTCTTCTTGCTCTACCATATGGATGCAGGGGCCCAAGGATTTGCTGTCTTTCTGTTGTTTTCTCAGACCATAAGCAGGGAGTTGAACCGGGAGTGGAGCAGTTGGACACAAACCAACAGTCATGTGGGATTCCAGTGCAGCAGGCAGAGACTTAGTCTACTGTGCCACAGTGCCTATTGTAAAGATTTATTTACAAGGCTAATGGGGATGGGGAACATATTCCATCCGCTAATTCACTCCCAGAATGACACAGCAGCCAGTTGTGGGCCAGGCTGAAGCCAGGAATCAAGAATTTCATCCAGCTCTCCCACACAAGAGGGACCCAAGTGCTAGGGTCAACTTGTCTGGCCTTCCCAGGTACTTCAGCAGGAAGTTGGACCTGAAGTACAATAGCTAAGCCTCAGATAAGCGTTCAGATACAGGATGCTAGCATCACAAGTGGCAGTTTAACCTGTTGTGCCACAACACTGCCCCCAGGGTACTGCTTACCTGCTGTGCGGAGCGTCACACTGTTCTGGTTTGGATCCCTTATCTAATTGGTTTTTTGTTTTTCCCATTTTCCTTGTTGGTTTCTTTTCCAGATCTTTTATTGTTAGGATGACATACAATTTAGGGTTTCTTTTTCCTCTAATCACTTCCTTTGTGGACTGATTTTCATGTTTTATTTGCCAATGACTCTTATATTCCTTTCTTCAGTTCTCTCCATGTGAGAGTCATAGGTTTACCTGTAGGACAGCTGTCTTCACGTGACTGTATTATAGAGGTCTCAAACCCAGCATATCCAAAATTGAATAGTCCTTCCCTTCCTAGCCCGCTTCAATTACAGCCCTCTTGCTCTTGATTAGCGGCCATGCTGTCCAGTTGCTGTAATTTTTGGGTCAGAGAATCTGATTCTTTCATAACCAACATCCAGTCTGACAGCAAATGCTACTGGACTACCTTCAGATATTCCCCAGATTGGAGCTCTTTTTCCTACCTCCACTGTTCGCCACGACGATGAGCTAAGCATGAAGATCTTTTGTGTGCACAGCCTCCAACAGGTGTTTTTGTGTCCCTATAGCCTTTTGTCAACATGCCAGATAGAATAGGCTCGAAAAGCCCTGGCCCTGTTTGCTTATAACCATGTGATGGCGTCTCATTTTCACGCAGGAGAAGCCCACATCCTCGCAGTGGCCTGTGGAGCTGTTTCCTCTCCTATCTTTCCTTCTGCTTCTCAGCTGCACCAGACTATCTTGCTTCCTGGTCCTCAGCTGAGCTAGATCCCAGGGCCGGGACCTTTCTCAGCTGTTCCCTCTGCTTGGGAATGCTCTCTATAGCACCTGCTTGGCCACCTCTCTATGTCTTCAAATCTTTTTTCAAAGCTCATCTATGCCTTGTCTACTCTGTTTAGAACCACTCTCTCACTCTAACGCTACCTTTCAAACAACTAAGAGAATTCTTAACACCTTCCCCAGCGATCTTCTCCATCTTCCACCCCACCCATGGCTCTTACTACTTTCTCATATATGGTAGTATTTAGCTGGTAATGATATTATTGCGTATTACTCATTTTTGCAAATTCGAATGGAAGTTCCACCGAGATAGGGTTCTCTGTTGTTCCTTGTGTATCCCTTGTACCTAGATTAGTGACTGCCGTGCAGGAGCAAACGTGTGTTGACTTGAATACTTTCTTCTCTCACCCATATATTCAGTCTCTTATTAAGGCCCATTGTTCTTGTCCTAAATAGTTTTCGGGTCTTTCCACATCTCTCTATTCTACCACCATCTACTGTAAACTTGTGCTGGATTTTATTGAATCTGCTTTAGGAGCCTTCTCGTTGGTGTATCTGCAGGAACTCAAGAAGTTGTTTTCCACAGTAGATTTAGAGTAATTTTTCGACGCGTCAAATTGATTGCTATTTACACTTCTTAAAACCCTTGATTTCTTTACATTGCCTTTTGGATGAAGATGCGGCCTGTCGGTGGCCCGTGGTCTGTACCGGTCCTCCCTGTCCTCTGCTGCAGTGCCCTGTCCTGGTTCTCTAACCACGCAGGCTTTGACTCTGATCTCCATGTCAATGCTTGCTTTCCTGCTAGGTTTTTGTATCTGCTGATCCCTCTGCCTGTAACAATTTTGCCTTCTTATTTTGTCTGTTAAGTCCCTGGTTGTCTTCAGATTGCAGAGCCTTTACCCGTCTCCCAGACAGAGGCAGGTTGTCCGCCAGAGTACCTGATTTACCCACAGGGCTCCCCTCGCAGCTCTCTTCACAATTGCAGTTTTACCTGTAAATGTTTTTAGTCATTAGCTTGATGCCTGTCTGACCTAGTAAACTGTAACTTGCATGAGGGTAGAGACCATTGCATCCCCAGGATCTAATACAAAACCTGGCGTTTGTTGGAATTGGTAGGTATATGCTGACTGCTCAGCAGGTTACCTCTATATCATAACATTACATAAAGGTTTTGTGAAAAGTTGTTCTGCCATGAAGTGAATTAGTCAGCAGCATGCAGTGTCATCCAGATATGGATTTCTTCCCTGTCATATAATATCGAGTAGTTTTGGGCCCAGTGCAGTGGCCTAGCAGCTAAAGTCCTTGCCTTGCACATGCCAGAATTCCATATGGGTGCCGGTTCTAATCCCAACAGCTCCACTTCCCATCCAGCTCCTTGCTTGTGGCCTGGGAAAGCAGTTGAGGACAGCCCAAAACCTTGTGACCCTGCCCCTGAGTGGGAGACCCGGAGGGGGGTCCTGGCTCCTGGCTTCTGATCAGCGCAGCTGATTTGGGGAGTGAACCAGCAGATTGAAGATCTTTTTGTGACTTTTTTTTCTCTCTCTGTATCTCCGACTTTGAAGTAAAACAAGTGAATATTGAAAAAAAAAAATGTATACTTGCTTTGAGCATAAGTTAGAGGTAAATTTTGCTGTTGGGTGTTTGTGACATTTCTTGTGTTCAGAAGTCCTCTATCTGGGTCATCTGTTAAAACTCGGCATGTATCATTTTCACATGATCAGATGACATCCTTGATTGCTTGTTGTAGGTTGAGTTGACCAGAAGTGCAATGTGAAAGGAATACACATGGATTCTGCCTTCTGGAATTAATAATTATAGTACACGATTATGTTTAGCGCGACTTTTTTAAAAGGTTTATTTTTATTAGAAAGTCAGATTTACAAATGAGAGGAAAGACAGAAAGATCTTCCATTCCAAGGCTTTGGGCCATTCTCGGTTGTTTTCCCAGGCCACAAGCAGAGAGCTGGCTGGGAAGTGGAGCAGCCGGGATATGAACTGGCACCCGTATGGGATCCTGGTGTGTGGAAGGCAAGGACTGTAACCACTTGGCTACTGTGCTGGGCCCTATATTTAGCATAATTTTTAAAGAGAGTATAACTTAAATGCCCTCTTTGAATAAATAGTTTGAATTGGAAAAATGCATATAATCCTTTATATTACTTTGCATTCACCACTTGGTATGGATCAGGCAAGAGAAATTTGTAGTTTGTAAAAAACCTAAGCAGACAGAATTAAGATTGCATCAGAATGAGGTTTGACCTGAGTTTTGGCAGTATTTGGAGGCTTCTGATCCCCAAAAAGCAATCCAGCTGGTGTGGGACGTTTGACAAATGACATGCTTTGTTCCAGGTAGCAAGTTGGTTCATCCTGGTGGGCTCTAGGCTTTTGGGGTGCTTTAAATACTAGTGTGTTTCCTTTCATTGTGTTGCTGCCATGAAGTAGGCTAATGTTAGTAACTAAGAGACTTAAGGTTAAAGTGCCTATGACGTGATTGTTATAAGATCAAGAGCATTTGTAAAGATAAATTAGTATGAATATAGGTGTTGCATTTCTGTGTTTTTTTTTTTTTTCTTAAGACTCATTTAATTATATTTGAAAGGCAGAGTTACAGAGAGGCAGGGAGAGACGGAGAAAGAGATCTTCCATCTGATTTACTCCCCAAATGGCTGCAACAGGCAGAAGCTGGGAGCCAGGATTTTCTCTGGGTCCCCCGGGGCTGCAGGGGCTTGCATATTTGGACCATTTTCTGCTGCTTTTCTCAGATGTGTTAGCCGGGAGCAGCCAGGACTCCAACACCCATGTGGACTGCAGTTGTTGCCCGCTATGTCAGGGTGCTCATGTTTTATTTCTTCAGCATTCTTTTTCTTGCCCTTGTTTTGTTTTTGCAGTCATGGTTCAATGCTAAGTTGTTGTGTTCTGTAGTCCTTCTGAGATAAGAAAGAAATATTTTTGTTTCTTTGGCTAATCATAAAGATAGGACATTGAATGTTTTCTGTCCATTTTCTATTTTAAGATGTTATTTCTGTAATGTGAGATTTGACTTAATTTCCTTTTATGGTCTCACCCTACTAGCTTGATCAATTATCTGTCTAGAACAGTAGCTGTGGCTTACATACACCCGTGCATATTTTATTTGGTTAATACTTTAAATTTCATTGGCAGCATTGGAGTCAGATTGAGTTTTATGTTTCTTTGATGAGGCAGCAATACCAGTTTTGCTTTTAGTACATTCAACAAGTTTAACTATCTCTATTTTTCCTTTTAACAAGCTTGCTGTTTATTGCTCATTGAAATGCATAAAAAATGGATCTCATTAGAATGCTTTATTTAGTTGTGTTTTTGTTTGAGAGAAAGAGCACTCGAGACTGCTAGTTCTTCCCTGGAGTGCCCGCCGTGCCAGGATCCTAACCCACATCTCCCACATGGCTTGCAGGGCTATGACCGCCTGCAGCATCACCAGGTGTCTCCCAGTATGTAGATACCCTGAAGCTGGGTGCGGTGGGGCGGCGGGGGAGTGGGCGGAGAAGCAGTTACTTGAAATCCCAGGCACTCTGGGGACACAGAGTCACAGCCTCTGTACTGCTAGGCTGAATGTCTGGCTCAGTCTTCGTGTTTTTGGCTGTCCTGATTTCCCTACCCTGTGCATTTGTCCATTTTGCCTCCTTACTGGAACTGTCACTTAATTATTTGCCATGGCTAGATTGTTCCTTAGAAGACAAGGATTGGATTAGCTCATCTGCCTAGAACAATACCGTTTACTTAGGCAGCTAGTAACTGAATGAATAAATTCCTACCTTCAGGATAGTTACGAGAGTGTTAATCATGGTTGTCTGAGAGAATAGAACTTGAAAATTGTGCTTTGGCTGTGTATGGGAAGTAATCCTTGAGAAGTTCTGAAATCATTTTAGTCTTGATTCTTGTGTCTTAATGCAGTCCTTTATTAGTGTTCGGTTAACAGCACTTACAGTTTTCTTTTTAGACTGTTGTGTATTGTGAGCAGTTGTGAGAGCAGGCCAGTTGCATTAGCCCGTTTTCCCTTGTTAGAACGAAATCCATGAAGCTGGATAATTTACAAAGGAAAGACTGATTTAGCTCATGGGTTTGTAGTCTGAAAGTCCTAGATTGGGCAAGTCCATTTCCTCAGCTTGCTCTAAGGGCCCTTGGTTGCGTCATATCCTGCCAGTTGGTATCAGGTCGGACGTGTGCAAGAGAGAGATTCGATGGTTCGAATAGGAAGCCTCAGAGCGATTCAAGGATAAGGTGCTGTTGAAACAATTCATTCTGACTGGGGTTGCAGGAGAACCACCTGAATCCCTTATAAGGGCAGTGGCCCCCAGTGGCCAAACCCTTTCCCATTTTACCTTCCTTCTAAAAAATTCCACTCTAAAAAATAGTCACCCTGAGAATCAGCAACTCACCAAACTGTTGGTGGACAAATCACACCCCAGTCATAGCACCAGTTAATTCAATCATGACCATGCTTGAAGTCAGTTATTTACTTTTTTTTTTTTTAAGGAATCACGAAGATATTCCATCTGCTGCTTGGTCACAACAGCCAGAGCTGAGGCAGACAGGGGCCAAGATCCTCCTCTGGGTCTCCCATGTGGGTACAGGGACCCAAGGCTTTGGGCCATCCTTCGTTGCTATCCCAGGCCATAAGCATAGAGCTGGATGGGAAGTGGAGCTGCCGGAACACTTCCTGGAGCCCATATAAGATGCTGTGCTTGGAGGTGGAGGACTAGCCCGCCGAGCCAAAGGCACTGGCTCCCAGTGTCAGTTTCTCAATAAGCGTCTGTCACCAACTCAAATGTAATAAAGTTTCCTTTAATGTATTGCATAATTAATTTTTGTTGTTACTGCTTTGCTTACAGTGGAAAAGAAGAAGGAAACAATAACCGAGTCAGCTGGTAGACAACAAAAGAAGAAAATAGGTAAGTTGAAATTGAGGTTGTCTTGGAAAACAAATTTTTAATTATGAAAATATGAAGCTTTTACTAACAACACCTCATGTTGTATCATCTTATGGCTTATTAGGTGTTTGTGTACCTTATCTCATTTGGTTCGTAACCATTTTGTGAAGTAGAAAGGATGAAATTAGGCAATCACTCCTTTTTGGCTCCAAGTTTTAGAATTTGTGGTTTAGTAAAATGGTAGTTCTAGCTTTTGAACTTGGCTGATGTTGCCTGGCATAGTTTATGAAAGTATACTGTTTTTATATCAAACATGATTTTCTCCGATTAAACTTAGGTTACCTATGTTTACTATTGCCATTTTAAAAATATTGCCATGGATTCCCTCCTGAAAATTGGCTAATGATGGAAATGATTTTCTGCTAAGAGAGTTTTATCTTCCCCTGAGAAATAATGACCATCTGTTTTTGGTTTTTCCTTGTAATTTAGAATTTAAGTAATTGTTCCCAAAAGGTTACCAGAAAACATTTCATAAGTGATTACATATGATTTCTATTTCATGATGTTTCCTGATTCTAAGATCAGGGAACATGCGGTCTAATATTATATACTTGGTTCAAACATGATTTCTGGGGCCCAGTGTGGTGGTGCAGTGGTTAAGGTCCTCGCCTTGCACGCCCGGGATCCCATATGGGCGCCGGTTCTAATCCCGGCAGCCCCGCTTCCCATCCAGCTCCCTGCTTGTGGCCCGGGAAAGCAGTCAAGGATGGCCCAAAGCTTTGGGACCCTGCATCTGCACGTGGGTAGCTTCGGATCGGCATATTATAATCAACCTATGGGAGTCAGGATGCCCTGAGTATGTAATCTTTCAGTTGACTCTAGAGGTATTAGTGTTAGTTGGCTGAATACATATTTTTTTAAATGCTGTTTAGTGTTTCTTGTGCATTTGTATCTGCAACAATATACTATGCATTATTACACATTTCAAAATTCTCTTAGCAGTTATGTGTGACAGGATAGGGTTAAAACAGCAAGGGACATTTCAGAACCTGCTGACTGTCAGGAGAAGGCTTTAGATGGCGATGAAGGGTTTAAAGGAAGCTTGACATCAGGTTCTGTTGAAGGAAGACGACTGGTAGCAGTGTGGAGGACAGATTGGGCAAGAGGAGATTTTGGAGATAGGGAAGTCACAAGGCTTTTTAAGTAACCCATTCATGAAATTATTTAAAAAAAAAACTAAACCTAGGGCATAGCTGCCGGAAGGAAATAGGTGATACAAATTCAATAAAAGTGGAAGAAATAGAAGTAATAAGTTTTTTTTTCTTTTTTTAAGATTTACTTATTTTTATTGACAGGCAGATTAGATTTACAAAGAGAAGGACAGACAGAGAGAAAGATCCTCCATCTGCTGGTTTGCTTCCAAAATGGCTGGAGCTGAGCTGATCTGAAGCCAGAAGCCGGGATGTTCTTCCAGGTTTCCTTCACAGGTGCAGGGTCTCAATACTTTGGGCTATCCTCTACTGCTTTCCCAGACTACAAGCAGGGAGCTGGATGGGAATTGAAGAGGGCCCGGCGCGGTGGCACAAGTGGTTAAAGGTCCTCGCCTTGCACGCCCGGGATCCCATATGGGCGCCGGTTCTAATCCCGGCAGCCCCGCTTCCCTTCCAGCTCCCTGCCTGTGGCCCGGGAAAGCAGTGGAGGACGGCCCAAAGCTTTGGGAACCTGCACCCGCGTGGGAGACCCGGAAGAGGCTCCTGGCTTCGGATTGGCATAGTATCGGCCGTTGCGCTCACTTGGGGAGTGAATCATCGGGCGGAAGATCTTCCTCTCTGTCTCTCCTCTCTGTATATCTGCCTTTTCAATGAAAAAATAATAAAAATAAATATTTAAAAAAAAATAAAGAAATATTAGAAGAGATTTAAGATGGGGAATAAAAGATAATTTCAGGCTGGAGCAGGTTGGGTTTGAAGTGCCTGTGTCTTACTATAGTGGAGATGCTTGATACTGAGTTACATGTGCAGTTGGTGAGCTGTCCCAGAGATCAGAACTACAAGCAGCGTTTAGGATCCTGCACTTACATGTAGTAGTGGGATCCACAGATAAATCAGATTGCAAGAGCTACCACGTAGGGCTGCGGGTGAGGCGCATCTTAAAGAAACATCAATGTAAGGGTGGCAGAAGAGAAACTACGAGAAATATTGTCAGAAAATGGGAAAGGAGTTGTGAAATAGAAGTCAAGAGAACATTTTTCAGGAGATAGAAAGGGTCTAGGGTAGCTGTTAAATGTCTGAGACATGAGGGATTATTAGTGATTTTTTTTTAAAGAATGTTTTCAGTGGCATGGTGGGGGATAGAGCAGATTGCATAGATCGGAGTTATGCGTAGTGAGGATATGAAGCCATTACACATAGAAGACTAAAGTGTCTGCTAAAAGGATAGGCAAGGTTTAAAAACGGAGCCATGTTATCCTCTGCGCTTATGTTGACAGTACGAAGTATGTAAATTCAAATTATCTTAATATGGAATGCAGCCTTGAGTTGTTTTCTTACCAAAAAAAATCTTATCAGGAATTTCAAGTGGAAATATTTATGGTTAATTGCTTTTTAAAAATCCTGTATCAGAAGCTACAAGACATAATACTTACAAGTAGTTGCTTAAAAGATAAACTTATTTACTCCCTATATAAATTTTACTCTTGGATTAAACTGAGCTATCAGATGTCTCTAAACATAAATTTCTTCATTTTGATCTTGATAAACTAACTTCTGCCTTATTTCACCTTGGTGTTTGCACTGTTATTCATAAATTATGAAAAACCCTGCCAGGTACAATTTGATGCAGTACTACTATAGGATATTTTTACAAACTTAATTCACAGTGTCACACAAAGGTGTTTTGACTTAAAAAAAGAACTAGAACTTATGTCTCTGAGTTTTCAAAACTCAGTACAAGCAGTGACTGTTAGAAATTAATTTAATGGATGTTCCTTGAGCCCATTTGTTTTTCTTTTGAATTGGCTGCTAGCCAGCCTGCAGTCAGATTTGCTGTTCATGGCTGACAAACTTCCTAGAATGAATTAAAATGGATCTCTGCGTGTTGATTGTATCTAGCATTTGTTGTTGGTGAAGCCTTTCCTTTGTTCATATTGTCCATTTTTCCATCGACTGCTCTGCTTCCCATCCAGCATTCTGCTCCTGCAATCTTTGAGTGGGCCATTAATTTGCATTTTATCTGAAGACCTATGTGTCTCATTTTTAATTTCAGAAACAAATGCTTGGATTTTTTTTTTAATTTATTTTCTTTTTATTGGAAAGGCGGATATACAGAGAGGAGGAGAGACAGAGAGAAAGATCTTCCGTCCGATGATTCACTCCCCAAGTGAGTGCAACGGCCAATGCTATGCCGATCCGAAGCCAGGAGCCTCTTCCGGGTCTCCCATGTGCGTGCAGGGTCCCAAAGCTTTGGGCCGTCCTCGACTGCTTTCCTGGGCCACAGGCAGGGAGCTGGATAGAAAACGGGACTGCCAGGATTAGAACGGGCTCCCACATGGGATCCTGGGCTTGCAAGGCGAGGACCTTAACCACTTGTGCCATCGCGCTGGGCCTGGATTGTTTTTATATTTCTGTCTAATATATGAGCATGTTTTAGCTTTTTGAGCTGCCATTAAATTGTTTCAAGTCGTATGTGTGAGCAGAAATTCAGGAAAAGCAGAGCTAAATGGTCATTAGAAGGTAGGAACGATGATAAGTCAAATACTTTCAGAAGAGCAAGACCTGAGAAGATTTAGGCAGTAAAATGTGTCCTGTACAGATCCACTATTTTAAAACACTTTTTTGCTTTCTTATTCAACTTTCCCACTTTCTCTGTAGTGTGTTTCTAGAATTTAACCCTTCCCTGCATGTAATTTTGTCTTATGTCATTGAGTTATTTCTGTCTCAAAGTTGTTTGCATGACCCGTGGACCACCTGCATCCACATTATCTGATATACTTGTTAAAAAAGAAGGACCTCCCTCCCCAGCTGTAGGCAACTGCCTAGGTTGCATTGTACCTAGGCAAGTGTTCCACTGCTGGGAGAAAAGCAGCCAATAGCTGGCAGGCATTCTGGGCCTGGTTAATGCCAAATTTGTGTTAACTATACCAGTATGCCAGCATAATTGCTTATTCTTCAATTTTTTTGTTTGTTTGTTTTTGTTTAAGTGGCCAACCAGGCCATTGCACTTACAGGTCAACAAGGGGGCTGAGACTAGGTGGTTTAAAGGAGGGAAACCAGAGAACCTTTCTGGGTCAAACCAATGCATCCACCTACTTGAGCTGGGCTATATAGTATCAACTACTGCCCACCAGTGCACAGGAAAGCTAGTATTGGGGGGCTGGCATGGCATCGCCGGCCCATAGTACCTGCCAGTGAGTGTCAGGGTAAGGGGTGGGCCACATTAGGCTAGGCCATGACACTAACTGGCACACGGGAGAACTGGGTCAAGGGGACCAGATTCTGGTGGCATTTGTGGGCTCTGTGGAACTGTAGTATCCACTGGTTTGCTTGAGAACTGGGAATGGTGACGAGCTAAGCGAGGCATGACCACAGAACTTACCAACACTCATGGGAACTGGATTTGGGACCAGGCTGGTCCAGGCTGCAAAACCTGTAGGTGCACCCAGGAATTAGATGTGGAGTGGCCCTGGCTCCAACGTCCGGCGGTACACACAAAGACAGACTGGCAGGCAGACTATGTCGGGTAGGGGCCTAGCGCCCACTGGTACGTGTGAGATCTGGGTGTGGGCCAGTGACCTTGACAGTCGCCATCTTGTTGAATCAGTGACATATTCACCCTTGAGCCCCACACTAGTGAGTGAACTTAAGGAACTCCCCTAATAAGCTGTAACTCCTTCTGGTGAGTACATGAGTCAGGGCTGGGTGTGGGTCAGGCTAAGCAAGGCTGCTCCACTTGTTGGCATCTATGTGGGCTGGCTCAAGGAGCAGATCAGGCAGGGCTGGGCCAAGCCAAAGCACACTAACATG